AAACAACTGCAAAAGCATCCCTATGACTCCAAGGGTGACACACACACGCACACGCACACGCACACGCCGCGTGGGCGGGCCCAAAACTGAGGGGCAGACTAACGTGCACGTGCGCGCGCAAAAGGGACAAAAAGACGAAGACGTGAAAAGGAGACGCGACAAGACCAATGTGTGAGCGGTTGCGATGAAGGGGAAACCAAACGCACAGGGACAACCAGTGAACCATACCTCATTACCAAGACCTGGGCGACCCGAAACCTGGGTTGAATGTAACAGTGCGCGTGCGTGCTAAGGGCCGGACTGGTGTGCGCGCAAATGAAGGAACGGAGTGAGAGCTCCTACGCTTGCTGTGAGCTACTCTGCTCTCCGGTCGGGAGAATCCCGGTCGCTAGTCATTAGGTAGTTGTTAGTAGGCCAAAGGTTCAAAATCCAGGACGAAATAATGACGACGAGCGCTCAGCTGAATGCATTGGCCCTTTGTTGGAAGGGTGGAGTAAAAGCTTGAGAACATCACAACAGGGCAGGTTGCGTCGCGGTGATCAGCTGTGATATCCGCATGTACTGTGGCCACTTCATTGAACCATCGCTCACAGCGCATGGATGGCCTCCCTGTGACTCCAAGGATTTCACGCGCGCACACACACACATGGCCACGGGCATTTGGCCGGCAGGGAGACCTTGCAGCAGCACAAGCGCACAGGTTCCATAGCACGCGCTGCCATAGATAGATGAGCGCATTTTTTTCGCGGTGATATGCGATTCCCTGAAGGCGTCGCTGTTGAGATGATATTCTGATAACCCAAACTTCAAGTAATTAGATGCGCGCGTGTGCAGTCATTGTGCAGCTGCTATGCGTCGGCAGCCTCCAAGCGCGGGGCAGGCGTTTGGCTGGCATCTCGCAGCGGCGCCCTGCAGCAGCACCGGCTCCAAATCGCAAGCTGTGATAGACATACGGACGAAAGTTTTTTCGCGGCGAGATGTGCTTCCTTACGGCTTGACGGCGTCACGTTTCAGATGATAGGCGCCAATCCGAACTGCAGGAAAACGCGTGCTTTTGCAGTCCTCTGGCAACTGGCATCAGCGCCCTGCAGCGGCAGCCTCTGGAGGCACGACCATCCAAGCTCCAAAACTCACACTGCCATAGACATCTGGCAGCCTGCAGCCGCACCAGCGCCCAAACTCCAAAGCGCGTGGCGCAGCCATACACCTTGCAGCAGCGCCCTGCAGCAGCACTAGCATCCAGGCTCCAAAGTGCACACGAGCGGCATCTTGCTGGCGCCAGCGCCCAGGCTTCAAACTGCAGGAAGAACCCAAATAACTCTCGCCATTTGGGGCAAAAACCGTTCCAGGCAAACAGATAGATCAATCGATGCGTCCATGCATCCATGCATGCTTCCATCCATCCTTCTATCCGTCCATCCATCCATGCGTGCGTTCATCCATCCATCTACCTATATATCCATCCATCCATCCATTTACGATGGCCCTTTCGAATTTTTGACAGTGCCTGCAAATGATTCGACAAAGTCACGCAAACACACCTCGCCCTGCGAGGACGACATGAAACAACATGGAGAGCAGACATGGCGCCACGTGGTGCAGACATGGTGACATGTTGAGGCGAGTGCCGCAGACTGAGAATGACACCAACACAGAGCGATTCAGGCCAGAAATTTTCCTTCACTTTGACCCTCGAGTTTCTAGCTTGCTCAACGCCAGGCGGCTTTGCCTCATGGATGACGCTGTTTTGTATGAAGACGAGTTGCTACAGGCAAAACACGCACCAAAAATATGACTTGGGGCATGTGGTTCTTGATTTTTGTCGTACGCTTCAGATTGGTGTCAAAGCCGAATACAGCGGTCTTGAAGGTGTGTGCCTCTGGGAGCGCGCTGCGCAACTAGCTGAGCAAATCAATCAATTCGCAAGTCTGTCCGGAAACGAGGTCAGGTGGCGGTGTTCTATGGCAACAAAGGCTTGAGTATTCTTTAGCATATGGGGTGCCGCATGCTGACGCCTTGCGTGTGTTTGCAAGGGGGTTTTGCATATTTTCCTCGGCAACTGGTTTCTTCAGGCAATGCAGCATTGCAGAGCTTCGTAGCCCAATATTTGGTTCGCGAGGATTGCGTGTTGCGCCGTAGATAAGTGCTTTCTGTTCAATTAACTTGCGTTGGTGAATGTTTGGTGTTGCCAATCAGGAGCACGCATTGAAAGTGGTGGCGTCCCCTCTCAATCAGCATTTGGAAGCAGACCAGCAAATTGTGTCAGGAGCTTGCAAGTTCTATATCACTTCAGTTGCTGATGATTTCTTTTCAAACAGTCTTGGCAAGTTCACAACCGTCGCAGCTCACAATTGTTTGGCTCTTGCCTTTGGGTCCTGCCAATGTGTTGAAACGAAGGAACGTCAGAACATGTGTTGCTTCAGGATTTCCGCACGATTTGCCTTGCAGGTTATCCTTGACTAAGACTAAAGAATGCACCGTGACACGACATCCTCAAGATGTAAGACTTTGTTTGATGCAGGGGCATTGTCATCACACTGAGGCAGCGTTTGCAGGTTACAATGCTTGAGCCATTTGGAGAACCTCCCTGGCTGCGGCTTCAATTTCTGTTGTACCTTTGCCCAGTTTGCATCGGTCATGGGGCGTCAAACTTTTCCACAGACAGAATCCGAACATTTCAGCATGTGCAGTGTACTTTTGAATTCTGCCAGGCCGGATGCAAGTCCAAGAAGGCCAAGCAACATTTGGAATTGATTTTGTTGATTCTACGCAAGACGGATTTTCCGTCAAATTGCACAGAAGACACTCTATTTAATTACACATTACACATTACAAAAACAAGGCGAAGGGAACCAACAACGACAGACACTGGATGATTCCAGACGGGCAGTAGCGGCAGTAGCTTGCCTACACTATATATATATATATATATCCAGATGTGAATTGCGCTCCATGCAATCATGTCAGGCCGTTCGAACCGTCGCGAACCCGCTCGCCTCAAGCAGGGTGGGTCGCGCTACTTGGAGCGCTGGTTGCGAAAAGGCCGGCTTTGCGCGCGGCTTCCCTTTCGTCGAGTCGGAACCTCGTGCGTCCGCACTTCTTGATACGCTAGCATTTGCATGGTAGCGGAGCTCTGACCTAACCGGGTCATCTCCAGGCACCTTTTGCCACGCAACACCACAGCAACAGCATCACACCTCACCACAAACCACAACAAACTGCTCCATCGGGTCGACAGGCCCTGGCACCCAGGACAACATGTCCACTGCCCAGGCCTCCGCAAGCCTGGATACAAACAGCTTGAGGGATAACTTCATTCCCCAGTTCGATGGCCAACCCCAACAATCATATGTTGAGTGGAGAAAGCGCATCTTTTTCTACTACCTCAAGATGAAGCTCCAGAAACGAACTGGAGAATGCTGCCTCAACCTGATCGGAAGTTTGCAAGGAGCAGCGTGGAAAGTGGTGGAGGACTTCGAGAAAGAAACCGCCTCTGACACCATCCTTGAGCTCCTAGACAAGGCATTCTCCTACGACAATAGGGTACAGATGCCACAAGACTTCGAGAACTTCTTTACTCATGGAGTCAGGAAGCCAGGCGCCACCATGTTGCAGTTGTTCTGCGCCGAGTTCGATGAGAAGTTCCGCAAGGTGCAGGCCCATGGTGTCAAGCTGCCATCACAGGTCCTTGGATGGTTCCTCCTCAAAAAGGCCAACGTCGCCAAGGAACAGCGCCAGATGATTCTCACACAAGCTCCTGGACTAGAGCGCAACGAAGTGCAGGAGGCGCTGTACCTGATCCTTGGACAAGGCCGCTGTCATCACAGACAAGCGACCGTTTGGCCGTGGCAAAGGGCAACGCGCCTATGTGCTAAGCCGTCAAGGCGCGAGCCGTGAGCTTAAGGAGCCCCACGCGTCCGGAAACATGGTAAAATGGTAAAAGGGTAAAACCTAGTTCCTTTATGTTCCTTTTGAATAAACCTCTACCTGGTCAATATCAGTAAAACGGCAAAACGGTAAAACGGTAAAATGGTAAAATGGTAAAATATTTTACCGTTTTACGGTTTTACCGTTTTACCACCTGCTCTACTGCTATGCTAGTACTACTACTTCCCCAACAACAACAACTGCTACTACTACGACGACGAGAGCTACTACTAATATTTTTAGTACTACTCAATACTACTACACTTCCTACTTCCTACTTACTACTTACTCTTCGCTACTCACTACTACTACTACTACTGCTACTGCTACTACTACTACAACTACTACTACTACTACTACCACTTCAACAACAACTACTACTACTCCTACTAGCACTTCTAGTCCTACAACTCTTACTCCTACTCCCTCCTACCCACTCCTCTTCCTCCTATTACTACTACTACTGCTATTGCTACTGCTACTCCTACTACTACTACTACTACTGCTACTACCCCTTCTCCTGCTTGTGCTGCTGCTGCTGCTGCTGCTGCTAGTGCTGCTGCTGCTATTGCTACTGCTATTGTTACTGCATGCACTTGCTGCGGGCCATGCCGTGACTACTACTGCTATTGGTACTGCTACTCCTATTACTACTACTACTACTGCTGCTGCTGCTGCTGCTCCTGCTGCTGCTGCTGCTGCTACTACCCCTTCTCCTGCTTGTGCTGCTGCTGCTGCTTGTGCTGCTGCTGCTATTGCTACTTGCTGCGGGCCATGCCATGTCTTTGGGTACAGTTGGATGTCCGAAGCTCTACTACTACTACTACTGCTACTACTACTTTTTTGCAGGTACGACGCGGAGGACAACGTGGACAAGCTCTTTTTGGACAAGAGTTTCCAGGTGCGCGGTGTGTGTCTGTGTGTGTGCTTCCTACTGCTACTACTAGTCCTACTACTAGTACTACTACTACTACTACCACTACTTCCACTACTACTACTACTACTACTACTACTACCCCTTCTGCTTGTGCTGCTGCTGCTGCTGCTGCTCCTAGTGCTACTGCTATTGTTACGGCGGCTGCTACTGCTACCTACTGCTACGCCTACTCCTATTCCTATTCCTATTCCTAGTCCTCGTCATTACAACAACAACAACTACTATTACTACTACTACTACTACTGCTACTACCCCTTCTGCTTGTGCTGCTGCTGCTGCTGCTGCTAGTGCTACTGCGGCTGCTACTGCTACCTACTGCTACCCCTTCTCCTATTCCTATTCCTAGTCCTCGTCATTACAACAACAACAACAACTTCTGCTACTACTACTACTACTACTACTAGTACTACTACTACTACTACTACTACTACTACTGCCGCTGCTGCTGCTGCTACTATTATGGTTACTTGTGCTACTACTAAAGCCAACACTACTACCACTACTACTCACTACTACTCTTATAACTCCTGCTGCTCTACTACTGTTTTCTATTACCACTACTGCTACTACTACTACTACTACTGCTTCTACTACTACTACTACTACAATGCCCACTACTTCTACGACTATTGGTGCTATTGCTATTGTTGCTTCGCTACTACTACTTTTCCTGCTGCTACTACCAGTACCGGTCAACCTGTTTCCGGACGCGAAATGGGTGCAGAGAACGCGCCCAAGAAAGCTATTTGTAGGAACGAGTCCAAGAATCACGGCTTACGCAACAGCTTAATGTATACGAGCCTGCAGACAACATGTCCAAGAAACATGATCCATAAACATGATCCAGACAACGTGTCCATCCAAGACAGGATACTATTTTTTCGACGAGATTGTTAGCTTAATCCGACGGTGCTGCTTTGTCATCCGATGGTGCTGCTTTGTCATCTGTGGATGCGCTGGATGTCCCGCCCCCAGAGAGCAGATTCAATGAATAGCTGGACAATGCTTTCACATGTGCAGGCTCTGTTTATTTTGGCATTCTTGGCTATCTCGCATACAGTTACATGGTGGCGCAAACCACTCTCAGGTTGTAATGTTATCTTCTTGATGTGTTTGCTGCTGATCAATACTGTCTTCTTTGATGATGATCTACCACGTCCAGACTGCATGTTGCTACAAGCCTCGAGTTGTTTTGGGCCAGACATGTTGGTTTGTTTGAGGCTGTTTTGCTGCACGCACGGGATCGCGGCCTCCCCAGGCGAACTAGACCGTTTGCGGTCGTGCAGGGTTTTCGTGTCAGCGTGCATGGTCTGAAATTTTGCAACGAAGAGATTTTGAGATGTGATATAGAGAAATGTTGGCATGATGCTCGGTGGAAATGTAATGTCGGATGCTGTGACAATGACAGACGTGAACGTTGTGGCTCAGAGCAGCTGACATAGCTGGGCTGCTCAGCATGGCGGCTGAATCGCCGCCGCATGCTTCCGCGGCTGAGTGCCTCAGCCAATCCCAGGTGACCCCCGAGAAAGGGGACCAGCTTTTGGACAGCGTCGAAGTTGCTGCCAACGAGGATTACGCCAACCTCGTGCAAGCCATAGTGCTCGGTCTGCATTGAAATTCTTTTTTCCAGACATTGGGAACACATTCGCATTTCATTCCACGCATGTGTCGCGTTCCTGTACCAGTTCTTGTTTCAAACAGAAATGTGATTGGCAACATTGAGAATGCAAAGGCCACAGCCTCCTGATAGTACCAAATGGATCTGAACTTTACCAAGGAGACTTCCACAGATCCTGGTGTTGATGCCATAGATGGCGTCTTGCAGACGGCGCTCACTGCTTGGGGCAAAGTCAGGAGCAATTCTGACGCTACTGATGCAGCATCCCTGATGAAGCTTCTGGACGATGCTACCGCTGCTGAAGCTGATGCCTGGCGCGAGCAGATGGCCCGGAGTTTGTACAACTCAGAGGCAGGAATCTTGGGTTCACTTTACTTCCATGGATGTCAGAATACGGGTCAAAAATAAAACCGTTTCTATGTCATGGTGAAGATCACTCAAACTAACGTGACTTTGGTTGCTCAATGTTTGTGGAGTTTGTGCTTTGAAAGCTATTTTCAGGCTTTGTCCTCTGTTCGACAGGCGGTGACGCAGAGCGCCGACTTGGCGCATAAGCCCCGCTCGATGACTTTGCATGACTACATGGCTGAGGGTGCCAAAGCCTTTTATAGTAAGCTGCTGGATCCAGCCGTCCGTGCGGATTGTCAGAAGGTGCAGGAAGAGACCAGCTTGGACGAGGTCGCCCTCCAGGTACTCGGCAAGTGTCTGTGTCGAATTTCTATGGGGGGTGGGCTGCCGCCAGATGGACAGGTTCTGCGCAGCTTGCTGCAAGGCTTGGTCCAGTACATTTGGATGGGGCCTCCTGAGAAACCCCACAAGGCCGAGTGCATGTCCGAGAGTGAGAGCCAGTGGAATTTGGCTTCTTCGAAATTAGCTCAGTTGATTTTGGGTGAAAGTGCCACGGGCAACGACAATTGCATAGAGTTGTTGCACAAGTACATTGGCGAAGTACAGGACGACTCGCGGTCAGTCCTCAGTCGCGACGCAGTCCTTAGTCAAGGCTCAGTCACCCTGAGCGGCATCCTCAAGATTTTGGAAAAGCAAAGAGGCTTCCTTTGCTTCGTCAATTCTGAGCTGGAGGCTTTGCTGAGACGAAGGAAAGACAACTACATCTCGGAAGAGGACATGGTGCAGTTGTTGGATGGCAGCAAAATTGGGAAGGCGACCTTTTCGGACACGAAGGTCGTCCCGCATCCTCACGAGTGGGCGGCCCTTGGATGTCAGTTAAATGTGTACTTGCGTGAAATGAC